AGGGATCTCAGGAGTTTCCGAGTTAGGTCTCCAAAGGAAGAGCGAATGGGATACGGCTGGCGGGGAAGGTCCCTTGATCAGAGGACAAAAACATCTCCTTTTCTATATGCTTCCCTGGTCTGCCCAGCTCCCTGGGGAGTGGCCAGAGCACCCAGCCAGAGGCACCAAGCCAAGGTCAGCGACCAGGCCTAGAGCCCAGAGCCTCCTGGGAGGGTGAGTTTAAATGAGTAAATATGGTCCCGCCTGGGTGTGGCCAGCAGCACGCGGAGCTCCGGACCAGCCCCTCCCCTCGAAGCCTTCCTGCAGAGGCAGAGCGCTCCCACAGCCGGCACAGCCGCCTCCCCACCCCTGCGGACTCTCGGGGTCCCGGGCAGAGTCAGGGAGCACATCCGCCAGGTCTGCACGGCGGCCAGGACCAGCCAAAAACATGGCGAGGCTCCCCGAAAGGTGAGGTGGCGGACACAGGCTCAGGAAAAGGAAAAATGAGCTGCCTTGGGTGGGGCCCCCCAGGCCAGGGGTCTACCCCGCAGTGCCCGCAGGCTCAGATGCAACCTTGACACATGGGGGTGGCCTTGCTCATCAGAGTGAGTGGGGAGGGAGACAGAGACTGGCGCAAACTACCACATCTCCCAGGTGCTCTGATGGCCTCTGGACTGGTGCGACTCACATCCACCTGGAAAGCTGCCTTAGCCCAGGGCACATGGCCCGAGTGGGGGTGCGGGGGGCAGAGGCGGTGTGAGCCAGGGCCCCGGGTAGGGGCCCCGGGGGCACTGCAGGGGCAGTGATGGGAGTCAGCTAGGGCTCCTCAACTGGCAAGCCAGGCCCCAGGGCTGTCCATCTGCGGTCTAACCTCAGTCCCTCCTGCTCTAGTGAGCCCTCCCTCTGCCAAGTCCTTGCAGGCCTCTGCCTCCTCACCCCTGGTCCCCCACCCATCCTCGGCCTCCAATCCCTTAATCATCTTCCCATTCACTGGCCCTCACCCCCGCGGGGTGGCAGCTGCTCAGTGGGCGTCTACACACCCCTGGGTATGAGCTCGCACACCTCCACGCACACCCGTGAGTATGAGCTCCCGCACCTTCACGCACGCCCATGTGTATGAGCTCGCACACCTTCACGCACGCCCATGTGTATGAGCTCGCACACCTGTGAGTATGAGCTCGCACACCTTCACGCACGCCCGTGTGAGCTCGCACACCTTCACGCATGCCCGTGAGCTCGCACACCTTCACACACGCCCATGTGTATGAGCTCCCGCACCTTCACGCACGCCCGTGTGTATGAGCTCGCACACCTTCACTCCATGTGCCCCTAAATGCTGGGAACCTGCCAGGTGCATCTGGGCACGGCTGCCTGCACAAGGACCCCCCCCCCCCCCCACCAACCAGCACCCCCTGGCAGGCTCCCAGCAAGGGGGCAGGAGAGAAAATAAATACCCAGCCCCAGGCCACTGTCTGAGCCTTTCAGAAAGCAGAGCCCCCAAGAACGGCTGGGGAAGAAAGCACCTTTAGAGCTCCCTCTTTCCCAGTCCGAGGGAGAGCCACCGCTGTCCCCTCAGCGAGCACCCTGGTAAGTTCTTCCCGAAGTTGGAGCGCCGGGCCGCTTGCTGCCGTGGTGGGCGGGCAGCCCGGCGCCAACCAGAAGCCGGCAAGGTGTCCAGCTTCCCACACAGAGCTCAGAGCACCTCGCACCTCCCCCTCCCACCATGAGTAAGTCGCCAAACTGGGACAGAAGGACAGACGGTTGGCCGGACTCCGGCCCCATGACTGGCTCATAAAAGCCACCAGCAATGACAGTGATGCTGAGGCGATGCGGGCTCCCCCCGCCACCGCCTTCTGTCCTCTAACAAGTGGGAAAATTGCCTCAAATTGGGGGGCCTCAGGGAGCCCAGAGAGTCCCAGCCTGGTCCCTTGAAGTGGGCAGAGCCCCCCACCGCAGAGCCCCCCACCCCATGACCCAGAACCTGACCCCTGACGACAGACCCCAGGCCCATGTCCGACTCCCGTACCCAAGGCAGACACCAAACGAACCCAGGCCAGCCTCCCTCACCTGCCCCCTACCCAGCCCTCCAGGAAGGCCACCACCTTCTGGGTGACAAGGGCAGAGAAGCAGGCTCTGAATAGTACAACCAGGGCCCTGCTGGAGGCCCCTGTCCATCCCGGACTCCTCTTGCTCCCACACAGGCAGAGAAGTAGGTGGCAAAGGTGGCAGAGTGTCCGACTCGGGGTCCCCACACTGGGCCAGGGCAAGCACCGAGATCTTGGACCCGGTGCCAGCCAGGGAGGGCAGCGGCCCAGGTGGCCGGGGGAGAAGGTTAGCAAGACAAGCAGAAGGCCAGGCCCCTCTGGGGGCCCAAGGGCGAGGGACGCCCACAGCAGAGACTGAGGAGGAGGAGGGTGGGAGCGGCTAGGTCGCAATCTGTGGGGGTCTAACCTAAGGCCTCCTCTTCCCTGGGCCCCAGTGGAGCCGGGGGCCTCCCTCAGCCTCCCTGCTACTGGTACTCTAGACGACCCCCACCCCCGCCCCCGCCAGGGACTTTACCCTCCACCTTCTTTCCTCACTGCACCTCCCAGGAAAGACCAAGGAAGATTAAAAAAAAAAAAAGAAAGAAAGAAAGAAAGAAAAAAAAAAAAAAAACCACCCTGCTGGAGAAAGATTATATAACAGCAGCCAGGAAGACTATCCTATCTCCGGGTCTGTGAGAAGAGCCTAGAGCCAAACAGGGCAGAGCTGGGAAGCCCAGGGCCCTCCAGCCCAGGAGCAGCAGGCCCAGAGCAGGGGGACAATGGGCAGTACGTCAGAGCCACCGTTCCTAGTCCTCCACCACTCAGTTCCAGGCACTGGGTACAGGAGACAGAAGCCCCAGCCCAGCCTCGCACACCCATCCCCCAGCACACGGTCAGGATGCTCTCTCTGCCTGGGTCCTGCTGCTCCCCTTGGACCTGAGGCTCCAAGAGCAAGGACTGTGTCTTCCCTCTCGTTGTCACTCCCTACTGTGGAGCCACGCCTGGAAGACTGGAGCTTAGACTAAAGCCCTGACACAGACCTGCTGTGTGATTTCAGGTACATGGCTCAACATCTCTGGTCCCTAGAGGAACACGAGTGAAAACCCTTCCTTTTCCCAGAGAAACCAGAGACCCCTCACTTACGCATGTCCACGCACACACCTATACACACACCCAGGTACACAAGCACATACAGGTATGCTGGGGGGCGGGGAGATACGACAAAGAGAATAGGACCAACTGAGACCCAACAGTCGAAATGCCCATCGTAGGGCAAACTAGGAAAGAGCCGTACGTAGGCTCTAGTGTTCCCCAATCACCCGACATAAGACATAAACGGGTCTTCAGCCACCCTCGCTGGGATCCCACCCCACCCCCACCTCCTGCCCAACACACTGGGAAACCACAGGAAGGAAATTCATTCCCAGGCAGGCCGTGGGAGCTGGGACAGCCAGGCTAAGTCCTGGGGCGGGTGTGACCCAGCGGCCACAGGCGGGCTGGACATCTGTGAACACTGACATGTGCCTTTTCAATGCTCCCCTTGGCTCCCAAGACTTCCCTGTTGGGGGTCCGAAGACGAGTGGGAGGTGGACAGCTCCCTAACTTCAAAACACCCAATCTAGGGCTGGCCTGGGCTCCCCTCCTATCTCGAGGCCAGAGCAGCCCAAGGTCACCGCCCCAGACGGCAAACTTCCCATAGTCCAGGCCGGCCCCTGAACTGCCTGGAAGACCCGCGAAGGGGCTGGGGGAGGGGTGGGTGAGGACCACCCCCAAACCAAAGAAACCAGGCTAATAAGGAGACCTCAAAAAGAGGACTCGGCACAGGGAAGGGGGGCAGAGGATCCACCCACTGTAGCCTCCCCCAAACCACCAACAATGCCCTGTTTAAGAGGAGGTACAGAGAGCCTCCCACTTAGAAGGACAAACCTGGGATAACCTAGTCAGTGGTTCCGAGGGTGCCCACACCCAGGAGCCCTCCGACGCTAGGACAGACCTACAGAGGCTGTCCAGAGGTCAGCTTGAACCACTAAAGAGAAGGGACCCTTTCTCCCATCCCCCTGAGACCCAAATCTGACAGCAGGGGGCTGCCACAGGGCAAGACACAAGACTCATCCTGGTCTCCTTGAAAGCCCCCCAACACTTCCTCGACCCCCACTCCCAGACCAGTTCAGCCTGCCATTGGTGGAAAGAGAGACTGGAGAACTCTTGGCCAGATGTTGAGCAGCTGCAAACTTCTGGCCAGGGTTTCTCCAACTGGGGCTGCTGACAAACCAGATCGGGGGTCTCGGAGTGGGGGTGGGAGGTCCCAAGAAAGGGTCGAGCGCGCCCACCTCCGTGGTGACTCGGCGTCCCAAGTCCACAGGCACCCGGCAATCCCGGGCCGGGACACACACACACACACACACACACACTCACACTCACACACCCCGACCCACCACCCCGGTGTCATCTGAACAACGTCCCCCCTCCCTCCCCCGCTTCCCAAACAGCTGCGGCTCCCCCCGCCCCCACCCTCCCGCCACCCTCCCAGGCCCCCTTCTGCACCATTTCGGGCCAAGGAGGAGTGAACAGGCGGCGCGAGCAGGGAGAGGGAGGGAGGGCCGGCTGTTAAAATGTCAGCCGCTCCCGGCTGTCACCGGAGACCCCCTCTGAGGATGGCGCCCCTGCCCAGACCACTCGCTGGCCGTCGTAACCCCCGACACCCACAGACGGGCGCGCCCCCAAGCGCAGGTCCCCACCCCGACCCCGGCACGCAGGGGAGTCAGAGCCCCCTGCACTTGTCCCCCGGCCGAGTCCCCTACACAAACAAGCAGCCCCCCACGTAGTCTCCCACCGCCGCCACACGGAAACAGCCTGCTCCGCGAGTTCCTCCCACCCGGGGGCCACCCCAGCCCACCCCTCAGGGGGACGGTCCAGACCACCCTCCACCCCAACCCCGGGACGGGGTGGGGGAGGGGGCCTCTTAAAGCGGCAGGCGCATTATTTTTCCCTACTCACCGGCCCCGCTGGGGGAAAGGGGTGTCACGGCTGGGAGGGGTGGCCCTCGCCCCCGGTCCGGGGGACCTTCAACGCCGGGCAGCCGCAGCTCCGGGCGGGGGGGAATAACAAATGAGGCCGGCGTCCGCGCGGGCCCTGGGCGGCGCCGGGGGGCCTGGGCCCCCGCCGTGGGCGCGGGGGCGGGCAGGCGCGCGGCGGGAAGGGGGGACCGGGGCCGAGCGCCCGAGCCGCCTCGGCGTTGTTGATATTTTGCTTCCTTCCTCCTTTCGGGCTCCAAAGGTAACTCCTCCAGCCCCCGGGAGTCGAGGCCGACGTAGGCACAGCTCAGCCTAGCTTGAGGGGTGGGGCCCGGGGGGCTGATGGACAGGCAGGGGGCCAATGGGAAAAGCCCGCGCCGGCGGGGCGGGGCCTTAGGGGGCGGGCCTGGCAGCGGCCCCGCCTCGCGCCTCCCGCGGCCGGCCGGGCGGGCCGGGCGCCCCACCCACAGCCCTCCAGGCTAGGCTGCGGCGCCGGGAGCGGCGGATCCCTCCGCGGGCCGGGAGGGGAGGGGAAAGGAGGGGGCCGGGCCGGCGGCGCGGGGAGGCGAGGCCAGCGGCCGGCGGAGGGACGGCCCGCGCGAGGTGCCCCTCGGCGCTGCTGCCCCCGTGCGCTCGCCGCGGTCCTCTCCGGGGGCTGGGCGGCCGCCGCGCACTGGCGCACGCGAGCGCGCCCCCTCGACCCCCGAGCCCCGGGAGAGTTGGCGGTGGCAGTCCAAGTAGGCAGATTCAGGGCAGACGCTACATGGCGACCAGGCTCCGTCTCCCCCACTTAGGGCGCGCCGAAGCCCGCTGGAGAGCAGCGCGTTCCCGGCCGCGGGTTACCTGGGGAGCTCGCTCGCTCCTCTACCTGTGCCGGCCCTCCCCTCCCGGGCCGGCTCGGCAGACGCCCAGCAATTTAAAGCGACAGCTCATAGTTCTGGGGTGACCTAATCCCCAGTGCCTGCGGCCCCAAAGCACTTACAGCCGAGGGGGGCAATTTAAAGGGGCGGGACCTTAATTTCCCCCCAGCACCGGAAACGCCCAAAAGCATCTTATTAAAGAAGCCGTAGTAGCTCTTAAAAAAAAATTTTTTTTTTTTTTTTTTAATTAAAAAATCCCTAGTTGCCCTGGGGCGTGGTGAATCTTGACGTGCCCTACCACAGGCGTTCTGGGCCATGCCTACCCACCGGCCCCTCGGACTTCTTCTCCAGCAGCTCTGTTACCTCCAAATCCTGCTGCCGTCGACCGGGTGCTTGAGGAAATGATGGAATACGGCTTCGATCTCTAAGAACCTTGCAGAACAGAAGAGTACTCAGTTCTCCACACAGCCTGATTGCTATCTGGCTGGGTCTGATTTACTGAACAAAGACTAGATTCTAGGTTAAGTGCTGGGTTAAGTTCTGCGTGAAGACACTAATAAGCACGGGGAAGCAGCAAGTCATGGTGATTAAAAGCATCAACATCGGAGTAGCCAAGCCTTCTTGGTTCAAGTCCCCATTTCACCACATATTACCTGTGAACACACGGACCTTATTTAACTTCCCTGTACCTCATGATCCTCATGGGTGAAATGAAAATGGTGATAATAGTACCTAGCTCATAGATTTGGTGTGAAAATAATTCGTTTATGCAGGTAGATTGCTTAAAACAGTGTCTCGTGCTACGTTATAATAACTTAAGGGCTGGACTGTCACAACCCCTTTAGGCCCATTATCCCATACAAGCCTCAAAGCAGGCAAGATCAGTGGAACCGCTTTGCCAGTAGTTTGGAGGCTTATCTTGTATGTCTTTTTTTTTTTTTTTAAAGATTTTATTTATTTATTTGACAGACAGATCACAAGTAGGCAGAGAGAGAGGAAGGGAAGCAGGCTCTCTGCTGAGCAGAGAGCCTGATGCGGGACTCGATCCCAGGACCCTGGGATCATGACCTGAGCCGAAGGCAGCGGCTTAACCCACTGAGCCACCCAGGCGCCCTATCTTGTATGTCTTAAAATGGGAAGCCAGCAGGCTCCAATTCCCTTGGCCTCAGTTCCCAACCCTTCCACCTGGCCGCTCCTTCAGGAAACCTGATTTAAACAGTGTCCCGCTTTGTCCCCAAATGTAGCTTCTCAGTTCCCCGTCAGACGTGGGAGATCAGGCCCCAGACGTGGGAGATGAGGCCCCAGAAAATCTGTCTCCCCTGCCAGGCAGGGCTAGCTTGCCCCCAACTCCTCAGGGCAAGCAAGGGGAGCCCATCTGCCCTGTCCCCTAGGACCGTGAGAAGAACAGAGGCTTGTGCCATGGCTGGGGCTAGGGCTGTAGCAAGATGGGAAAGTGCCCCCCCTCAAGTGGGGAACCTCCCCTCACTTGTGGCCTCTATTTTTAGTGCTTCCCCAGGCTCTAGCTGGAGAAACCGTTTAGTCATCAGGGTGTTTATTTTCCGGCTGTTTCCGACGTCGGGAAAGCAGAATGTTGAGACTGGAGAGACAGGGCTGCTGGAAAAGACTTCTTAGGAACAGGCCTGGGAACGCAGCCTTCAGACCAATGGGTCCCAAGATCTCGGAGGGAAAAACCAAAGTGGGCACGGGGCAGCTAAGCCCCCAGGGGACCAAGAAAGATGGGTTCTCAGCCTGCCTGCAGTTTTGAGGCTCTCCAAGCCAGAGACCCCTATGACCCTAATGACCCTAGCTCCCTTTGAAGGATTCTCTCCAAGAACATAAGTAGCCCCAGAACAAATCGTTCCCTGTGTCTGATTTCCAAAGACCACCCCCCCCAACCTCTGATAGATCTGAGCGGTGAGCCTCCCGCCAACCACAGCTCCAGCCAATCTCAAGCCAGAGGCACACTTGCCGGGGCTGTGATTGGCTGGCTAGTCCTCCCTGCCTTGGAATGTTGGGTCCTTAACAAAGGAACGGGGAAGGAAGGTGAGTCACCTGGGAGGGTGTTAAAGGGCCAGAAGAAGAAGAGAGAAAGGAGGCGAGGGAAGAGTCGAGGGAGGAAGATGAAGTATCCTGGACCTAGAGATGCTGAACAGAAGAGGAGAGAGTCGCAGAAGCTGACATTACAAGCAAGATAGAATTTACACGTATTTATATTTGTAGAGAGAACTTCATAGAAAGGAAAAATAGCAAATATGAGGTCTTGATTTCCGTGGAGGGCTGAGAAAGGATCTAGGGGGTAACGTTGCTGGAAGTTAGGTTATAGTAAAGACTTCCTGAAACTGACTCACACCATCTTCTTCTTCTAGCCCCTGCACTACCCATGCCAGAATCCTCTAGGGGAAAAACACCCTCGCAGCTCAGGTGCCTGGATTTCAGTTTTTCCTTCTGCCCCTCTGATTCCCACCCCATCTTCTGTCGAGAAAAGTCATCTTCCAGACCAAAGTTGCTATAAAATCCCCAAGAAGTCAGACAGGTACCCAACAAAGTCCTAAGAAGTGGGTAACTCCTCTGTACAGTATCATCTTCATAGTTTCGACAGCAAAGGGGGACCAACAGCTCCCCTATAGTCACACCTCCCCAAGCACCCTAATCCATCTTTACTTGGAAAGGTCTTCCTCATCAACAAGTGCTTCTTCACTTCCTGCCTGCCATTCCATCCTCTGCCTGGCTGCTCAGTTGGCCCCGTGGACCATCCCTTCCCCACCCCCACTCCACCCATCCCATCCCTTCTACTGGGCTGAGTACTCTTCCTCCCAGTTTTTCAGTCTCTCCCCGTGCCTTCCATCTTGCGTGCGGGGGAAGGCAGGGGCTGTCAGACCAACCGTCTCTCGGTGGGCTCATGCATCACCCCGCACCCCTCTTTGCATTCAGTCCCCTCCACTCTATGTAGCTGCCTCATCAGTACACACCAGACCGGACTGACATTTTTGGTTTCCAGTTTATTCTTCTTCACCAGATCCTGAGCTCCTGGAGGGCACCAGATCCTGAACTCCTGAAGGGCACCAGATCCTGGAGGGCAGCAGTTCAACCAGCTTTGGGACTTCAGGGCCTTGCTGGGCCTGTCCTTAAAGGCACTCAGCAATGTCTGTTACAGGAATCCATGCCTGTCCGTGTATCTTGGTGACCATTATAAAAACTGTCTTGACAACCTCCTCTATTAGTCCATCGATAATTCTGTGCTAGCCAGGGATGGAGGGCTCTGACCCAGACAAGTCCCTCTCTGAGCCAGGAATTGGGGGGGGGGGGGGGGGGGGGGGGAAAGCAGGGGGGGGGGGGGGGGGGGGGGGGGGGGGGGGGGGGGGGCGGAGTTAAGCACAGAGTTGTCGGGGCTGTGCTGGCAGAGGCGTGCTCCAAGCTCGGTGCCAGGGTGCCTGGGGCCAGGCCCGGGGCAAAGGGCAGAGGCTCTACCCTGGATTTGAAGGTGGGAGGAAAGGGGTGCCAAAGCCGGGTCCTCAGTCCGTGCCCCCCCCAAGAGTTCGCTGCCCCAGGCTGGGCAGGATGTGGTGGCAGCTGCAAGAGGGTGGGCAGGATGTGGGGGTGGGGGCAGCTGAAACGAAGCCTGACATTCGCCTCCCCAGCTCCTCCCTCCTTCCCTCTCCCCCCCCATCCGCCCCCTCCAGGTCACGTGCTTCCAGCCCGGGCACCAACGGACTATTTCTCCCTTTCCGCGGAAGGACATAGTTGACATCGCAAACTCAAGTCACCTTCGACTTCAGCTATACCACGCCTTTTTCTTGCCCCGTAGCCCAGGACAGAAAGTTTGCCAGATACACATTTCTTTAGCGCTCTGACCACTGATTCGGGAGTGGCCCCTTTAAATGCAAATGAACCGCCTTCTCGCTCTCGCCCCCCCACCCCCATCCCAACTTCGCTCCTCGTGCCCAGACTCCGCCAGCTGCCATTGACGTCATGCGTGCGTCAGCGTCGCCAGCCCAACCAGACGGCACGTGGGGGGAAGAAGGTGGCCTTAAAGGGCCAGACGCCTTCGGCCTACCGGGTGCTGTTCTGAGTTTGGCCTTGAGAAAGGAGTGAGATGAAAGGTGGGGAAATCTACTGCCACAGGAAGGGATGCAGGCAGGACAGGTAGGAGCTCGGCTGCTTCGCAGAGCAGGAGAGTCGGGCCTTTCCTCCAGGTTCCCCAGGAGTGCGGGGTTTGCTCCTGGGAGCGCAGAACAGCTCTGAGGGTAAAGGACGCTGGCATTTAAG